CCCTAGGATCTTGGGTTTGCTGCTTTTATTCTTACCGCTCTTCAATTGACATGGTAGGACCTTGAGGAACGATCGTTCCAGACAGTATAACTCGATTGGTTCATCACGATGGGCAAACCCTACCACCACGTCAATGTAACAGCAACGGTCGGGCTCGCAAAAATACATTCTTTACCCTCTTTCGAGCAGAGTCATGGTACACACCTAATCATCGATTTGCTTTGTATGAAAAGTATAGCATTTCATCATAAATTTATGACATGGTAGTTTAACATAAAATGAAATATTGGAAATCCACTCGATCTGTTTTGTAGGTACATCAACATATGTTTAGTTTATTAACTTATATTATGTATAGGTTTATTATTTGAACACATGATATTGGTACAAGAGAGCGCCAATATATATGCGCCACACAATATAACCTATACTCACAGGTATAGGAATATATGTTTATTCTTTGTAGTGCTATATATTGAGCTGAATATGAAACAGACATAGCACTCATACTTGGACTTATGTGTAAATAGCAAACTTTTATCTTTAAATGTCGTGTAATTATGTATTCTTATTTAATTTAGTTGTCTTTTCTACTTGCCATTCTAGAGCAAAACAAAAAAGAAAACGAAAGGTAAATTATTAGTGGAAAGAGAAAATGATTATCAGTTTGGTGTTGATGATGCTCTCCCAGATGAGTATGATGATTTTATGTGAGAATGGGCAATTAAACTATTGTTTTTTATGAAAAATTATTTCCCTCTCAATAACCATCTGTCATTGTTTTTTTCACGCCTTGTTGTTTCTTCAATAAAAATGAAACAACTATTTTTTTACACCAGTAGTGTGTAATTAAGGAATAGGTATGCTATAACTGCTTGAATTGATATATGGTTTGTACATTGAGATTTGTGCATACTATAGTTCTGTACTGTTAACTAAATATGTACGATTTACTTTTCTTGTACATTTTCGCTCATGGTATCTTTTACATAGTCATATGTTTTTTTTCTAAATTATAAAGCTCAGTATGGTGTTAATCGAAAACAATTTAGTAGTATGTAGGGACAGAAAATTTGATCTCCTACTCTCTGTTCTCAGAATACTCTTCCTTTTCTTTTTCCTTAACACTCCATCTTAAATGTAGGTTCGGGTATTTTTGCTTTATTTATTTAGATTTCGAATTCTGTAATTGCACTAAATTTTTGCTCTATGAATTTTACACGTGAAAAGAAACATAACAACTAACAAAAACTAGAAAACGTTCACACATGTTGAAAAAATAAACGGAATACCGATCCATATTTCTTCTGCTTTCCAAGTAAAATCTCTTGAATATTCGTTTGGTTGCACTTTGTTATATTTATTTGGTGATTGTTAGATTTAAGGCAAAATAATATGTGAAAGTAAAACTGGATCTAAAAAACTAGATAAGTTAGTTGTTTTTCGAAAGTATCGTGTAGTGAATACTTAGTACTTAATTGTTAGAAGTGGGGCTTGCAAGATATCTAACATGTTAATGGTCAGTATTAAATTTAGGTCTTATTAGCTTGGTTGCACAATAGACGGGAGTCATTTGTTTATAACTAATATCCAGACCAACAAATAGAAAAGCTACCTCGTTTACTCAGATATTTTATTACAAATCCTGTTACGGAAAATTGTGAGTCATTCATTTACATCTCGTACATATATAAAAAGATGATCGGAGGAAACTTTTTAAAAGAATATAAGAAGTATTTTTACGATATGGAAAGTAGGCTGCAACATTGTGTAACAGGGATGAATCAAGCCTACCAGTCAGCTCTTAATTTATTAATCAGTGAGTAACCTGCATCCTGCACGAGTATGTTTCTTTCTTTAAGGGGAGTATTTCATCTTTCTGACTAGCTGTCATTTGCTATCGGTTCGTTTAAAAAAGATTATGTTAATGGGTCAGTCTTGTGAACAGTCAGGCACATTGCTTCACTGCACATCATTAAACGGTCAGCATTCTACCAGGCTTAAGGTTGACCATTCCCAAACTCTCCTTCGTAACACATTTGCATAAGATCTGATCACAACATTGTCACTATGTTGCGACATTTAAAGTAGCTACTTGGAATTTGGGCGCTATCAAATAACAGAAGTCGCGCAACCTCTCGGACTCTCATCCAGATAGATGTTAAGTTTTAATTATTATGGTTCTATACGTATGACTAGTAATTCATCTTACGAATTACTACTGAGAGAAAAAGCTTAACGTGACTGCGATAAAACATCCTGGTAATAGTGTCACTGCCAGGAAAGTTTTACTCACCTCGCGGCTGGGGTGTTGTCTACGAAACCGAAAAGCGAATGTCCGACGCTTTAGCTAGGTTGGGTATGAAAGATCCACCTAGGGAAGCCCTGATTCCGAATCGATAATGCATATCGGTTACAGGATCTTAAAGAAACAAATGGTGTATGAACCTATTGTTGGTCACCGGCCACTATGGAACTGTATTTCCTAGCATTGCTCGTCTAAGTTGTGGATTAGACCTCTAGGTCAAAAGCTCAGGTAGTGTCCCCCCCTACCTGCTTCAGTTTTAGGTACCTGGGCACTATACCATCCCTCGCACAAATCAAACGGAGTTTGGTACATATATATTTGGTGCCTCATTGTACCAATGTTTGTGTGATTTCAGTATATTTCCAACGGTATGAGAACTAGTTTCCTATATGTTAATCCCTTCAGTCGAATGTTGTCTGGGTATGCAAGGCGAAAGAGGCCAGTCTAATGGTCAGTTATTGAAGAATCCAGGTAATATTTACTAGTGCATCGGATCCCAGTCTACTTGGTGACTCAATAAAGCACAGTACCAGGCGTCTAGTTGCACCAAATATTTTGAAAGTCTCGTGTCGTATCATAAACAAGTTCATACAGATACCTAGTCCCTGTGAATCCAAGCTTTGCCTTGTCTATCGTTCATTAGATAGTAGACTTCAGAAAGAAATATCCCTCGGTGGTAAATGACCACTCCAATGTCTTACGTTACTATCCAGTCAATTGGTCGAAGATGGGGGAGGACTAGAACAACAAGGAAATTTGTATTTACAGTTTACCAAGAACATCTCAACTTATGGCTTTGCGACAATGTTATATTTCCACTCCAACTTAGCACGTCAATCATGAAAAAAATTACTGATATCGCAGTACTTATGCATGTCATGCTATCTAGGTAAATAAAGTACAACTGGATTATGGATGACTTATGTAAACTAAATAAGTCTATAACAGTGAACGTTTAACTGGACTACATTAGTTACTAGCTGATCATATATGTTTATGCAGTGTATACAAAAAGTGACTAAAAGTAATCAAAATTCCAAATAACATTATATAGACCCACAATCTTTCGTTTGCAGTTTTTCTTAAATAAACAGATGAGTGCAGTCGTAAATTGTTGCTAAGATCTTACGGGTTTCCCTAGAGAACAATTTAGTGCATAACACAGTGACAAAGGAATCTTGTGTGTCCCATAGAATTGATAATGCGATACAACGTTCTTAAATTTCATGCATTTGGTTCCCTTTATGAATTTAAATAGAGCAAGAACAAACATTGATGGAGAATAGTATGAATTCATATTATTTCGAGGTTTCTCGTCAGCTGCTTACAAACCAAAATTGTGATAGAATTTTTACATGGAGATAGTGTGAAACAATTGACATAAATGAGTGTAAATAACGTGATTACAATAATAACTATATATATATTCTAGAAACAGGTCAGAGGTCAAAAGAGGGGGGTTAATCCAGGGTGGGTGGTGTAATAATTTAGTTAAGTTCATAAACTGTGTGACAATTGTAGAGATTAATGGAATTAAATAATGATAAGGTAGATTACGTAATAATAATTAAATAGGGTTTGGAAAGTTAAGATGATTTAAGAGGATCAGGTGATGGAAATGTGTGAATACAATTTATTTTAAGAATTAGGTAATAGGGGGGAGTATGAATTATCTTAGAATAAGTAAATGAATAAAATAATCAAAACACAAAACAAACAAAAGGATTACCAGGGTAGTGATAAGTTTATTAAAGTCTCTTTTGGGATGTATAAGTCCGGTTTCAGTTTCTTAATTGCAATGGCTTCAGCAAAGCGGAGAGTGGTAGTAGTTCTTTGTCTATTGATAATTTTAAATGCGCGCATAATATCGACGGTATGCCCGGTGTCAAGTAGATGCCGAGGCAAGTAGAAGAAAACCAAATATGATTACTGTCGAAACCTGTTTAAATAAATTTCTACAAAAAAAGCATATTTGTATGAATGATATCCATATGATTTAATTAAGCATTTCAATTCTTCAGAGAAAAGCTAGGTTAAATGATGAGAAATATCAATCTTCAATTATTGAGGAGGGCATATCACGTTACTCATTCATATCTGAACGGTTAGGTATCTTATTATGACTTAAGTCAATTAGTGACAACACCCAGATAGTATATAGTCTATATCTGTTTAGGTTTACCAATGATTATTTCTTCTCAAGATACTTAACTTATGCTCAATAAGAAATGCACTATTTTTAATGTATATAATAAGGATTATTCTAATTTAATATCTTATACTGAATATAATTATGCAACAACTAATAAGTTTCTAACGACAGATCTCGATGATGATATTATTAATAAAAAAAATGAATCGATTTAGTATTCGTCTGTTTTACAGGTAATCATTTAACTTTATAGAATTTTTCTAATAAATAATCCACTTAAATTATACTTTATTTTCGAGAAGACAATCAGTAAAACTGAGAAAAAAACGTTCTCATTGACTAAATCAAAAACTATTCAGAAGAGGAAGAAAAGACAATTTTACTCTTTGAAAGTATTTATTATTAAGACTCGAAAATACAGGGGAATCATGATGTAGACAGATTTAAAAATGATATGATATGAAATTTAACTCAACGGTATACTGTTTTTTAAATCTTATTACTTCTAATAGTAATTAAATCTTGTTCTTTTGTTCCATTTCAATAGTTGAATTTTGAACGAAGCGATTTTAGTGGTTCAGCTAAAAAAAATTAAAAATTTACATATTCGAAATATATCCAATTAAATTCATTGGAACAAATATTGTGTTAATAATACGGATGTGATCATTTATAAATTATTGCTTGTAAACACGAAGTGAAAATATTTAAACAATGCTTATGCAGTGAACAAGAACACGAGTGGGAACAATTGTGTGCATTTGACATGAAATTACAGAGCATCTCACTAAAATCTGAGAACCATATAGTAAATCTTTAATTTGCAAAATATCAATCCATCATCTCAAACTTCACTGTTCCTTTTGTAAATATCAGTCCATTGTCTCAGATTTCACTGTTCATGCATTTTCATACCAATTGCGTTCCGTTTTCTTTCTTTCCTTATCGAATTTCTACTGAAATACATTCTATGCCTGACCACCGTTATGCACTACTTATATGGATATCAGTAACCCACACCACACTTATACCTACTATTTAGAATTCAATAGTTTTTAAAGTATAATACATTTTAAAGGGTTTGTTTCAAGGTAAGATTGATTTCTTATTTTAGTTTGGCAGATACAAAACCATTCACGGGATCACATTACACAGAATTAAATCGACCATATCTGCATCAACAAAAAGTTCAAGAGGACGATGGAGGTTGGAGAACCAAGAGAGGAGATGATATAGCATCAAATCATCACTTGCTGGTGGCCAAGATGAAATTGAAACTCAAGAAGCACCGGACGACGTCACAAAATTTTAATACGGCTTTTCTTCGAAGTACTGACAAACCAAACGAATTCAAGATAACCCTTAGCAATAGGTTCCAGGTCTTTCATGATCTACTCAATAGAGAGGGATCTACTATGGAGAACAACTGGAAAGGGATAAACGAGGCAATCACTTCAACATGTCATGAGGTCCTGGGTCACAAGAAGCACCATCACAAGAAATGGATAACTGTCGATACACTGGATATGATTGAAGAAAGGAGGCAACAATCAATATCAGCCGAACAAGAGCAGATAATGCCATGGCACAAACCGAACACACAGAAGCAAACGAGCAGCTGAAGAGTAGCATCAGAACCGACAAACGTAAATATGTGGAAGATCTAGCAATGACGGGGGAAAAGGCTGCAAGAGAAGGAATCATGAGACAATTGTATGATGCAATAAAGAAACTCCCTGGAATTCATCGTAAACCAGAACGACCAATGAAAAACAAGGAAGGCAAAGTAATCGCCAACGTTGAAGAACAGTGAAACAGGTGGGAAGAGCACTTCAAAGAACTCTTGAATCGACCAGCTTCACTGCACCAAACCAACATCGAAGTAGTAACCACCGACCTTTTCTCGCTTCGAAAAACAATCAATTGATTCAAATTATTATCATTAGAATTATCGTCATTATTATTATTATTATTATTATTATTATTATTATTATTATTATTATTATTATTATTATTATTAATATTTTCCACATTATTCACCCTCTTTTATACTTATACAGCGGCTCGTCTTTGGTGGAAATTCGACTGTATCTAAACGTTCTCGAGTCACTGCTACCTTGACGCGGTGGTCGGGCTTGCCTATCGTGATGACCCAACCGAGCTATATTGGCTGGAACATATGTTCCTGTAGGTTCTACCATGCCAGGCAGGTCGATTGGTGAACGGTAAGACTAAAAGCAGCAACTCAAGGTCTGAGGGCGAAGTCGTACTGCTGACTGTAGAGGGGTGTGACAGCAGTAAGGTGTTTCCCTCGGACAACCAGCATGACAGCGATGCTGCCTTCCCACAAGGAGGGGTGGGGTTAGAAAAGGTCGACCCTAAAAATGTCACACCTCACCTTACCTCACGGATCTCCGTCTCCGGCGGTAAGGCCCTTTGAAGAACGGAGCTAACACGTCAAAAAAAACCCACGAAAAGGCCGTGCGCGACCGGCCTCAAGCAGTTGTCCCTTGGGCTCTGCGGTCACGCTCCCAGGTCGTTAAGACCAACACTAATCCAATTTCCTTTTCAGGTTCCTCAAGAAATACCCTTCCACGGTGTGGGCAGCCGGGAAATGACACCAGCCCTCATACCCGTAACAGCACACGAGACCAAGTTGGTCACATTCAAATCCTTCCTACACCTCCTAATACCTCTCTTATCTCCATGACTAACCCTCCTCACATCTCTTTATCACCTCGCACCGCTAGAGCAAACGATTCGAGTACGTGGAACGCTATTCCTGGTCTCCTGAAACCACGCTCTAAACTACACGTAGGAGCTTTTAACGTCCAAACACTTTGCCAAATAGGACAGCAGGCTTCCTTAGCTAGGACTTTAGAATCTCGCGCCATCGATGTGTGCTGCGTCTCCGAAACGCGCATACAGGATTCAAGTAGCGTCATTCATTTGACCTCACCATGCCAAAATAAAGAACCGACTCGATTTACGCTTCGTGTATCTGGAAGCCCTGATGCTGCTTCCCGTGGCCTCGCCGGCGTAGGTATAACATTGAGTCCTAGGGCAGAACTAGCTCTCTTAGAGTGGATCCCAGTAGACAGTCGTTTGTGGGCTGTCCGACTGCATGGAACAATGAGGATCCGAAAAGATAGGGACACTCGTCGTTGCCTCTTCGTCGTCTCTGCCTATTCTCCCACTGACTGCAGCTCAGATGATGTAAAAGATGAGTTTTACAGAAAGCTTTCGGACCTTCTCCGAAAAGCTAAGCGCCCGGATGTAGTAATAGTGGCCGGTGACTTTAATGCTCAAGTAGGTAAACTAAGCGATAGGGAAAGACACCTAGGTGGATCTTATGGTGTCGTGGCTCAAAGAACAGATAATGGCGACCGTCTGTTGCAGCTATGCTCAGATAACCGCCTGTTCCTTGCAAATACTAACTTTAAGCATAAGGAAAAACATCTTTTAACATGGCGACCCCCTAATTCGTCCCAACGTTGGACCCAAATAGATCACATCCCTATCAGCCACCGATGGAGGGGCTCGATAGAAGACTGTCGCTCATTCTGGAGCACATGCCTAGATTCAGATCATGCTCTAGTGCGAGCGCGTATTTGCTTGCGTCTTACTGGACGTAAGAAAGATGCTGCAAGGAAACCTCTTACGGCCCTACTTAATGATAGTCAAGCTAAGAGTATATTTCAGGAACAACTAGGAAAACAGTTAGGCAGCCATGTATGTGATGCCCACCCTGAGGCAGCATGGAATGATATCCGAAAAGCTGTGGAAACAGCAGTGATATCTGCTAGTAAGGTAAACCAGAAGGTTAGGGAGCAACACTGGATCTCAGCAGCATCTATCGCACTGATAGATGCTCGGAAACTCATTCCACCTGGCTCTGAACATAATGAAGATCGGAGTCAGCTTAAGCGCAAGCTGACAATAAGTCTACGCAATGATCGCGAACAGTGGTGGGTAGCGAAAGCAAGAGAGATGGAAAAGGCAGCGGCATTAGGTAATAGCAGACAATTGTTCAGACTCGTTAAGGAAACCGGAATTAGGAACCCGACCGTTAACGAAACAATCTCAGAGAAAGATGGACATATTATTCATTCTCAATCCAGGAGATTGGATCGATGGGCAGAACACTTTAGGGGTCAGTTCAACTGGCCTTCAGCCACACTTCGGTTTCCCACGATCTCTAGTCAACCTGAATGGCAAATTAATGTAGGTCCTCCGTCCCTTTTCGAAGTTGAAAAAGCCATAGGAAATCTGAAACGAGGGAGAGCAGCAGGCCCTGACAGGTTTACTCCTGAGATTTTTAAGGATAGTGGTCCAGTATTAGCAATGAGATTAACCGAGGTCTTAGGTAGAATTTGGGAACTGGACGTAATCCCATCTGACTGGTCTCAATCACTGATTGTGCCAGTCTATAAGAAAGGACATAAGTCCTCCTGTGACAATCACAGAGGAATCAGTTTGACTAATATAGTGTCTAAAATACTAGCCTCAATAATACTTCGACGCCTAATCAAAGCTCGTGAAGAGCAGATTAGAGAAAACCAGGCCGGTTTTCGACCTGGACGTGGTTGTATAGATCAGATATTCACACTACGTCAGGTTCTGGAACACAGACACACATTCAGACACCCCACAATGGTAGTATTTCTCGACCTTAAGGCGGCATTCGACTCTGTTGATCGTGAGGTTCTATGGCAGTGTTTTTCACTTAAAGGAGTACCAAAGAAGTACATTAACCTTATAAAGGCTCTCTACTCGAACACAACTGGTAGAGTGAGAGCTTATGACGAACTGTCATCAGAATCGATTACCTCAAGTGGTGTTCGTCAGGGCTGTCCACTCTCCCCATTCTTGTTCAACTTTGTGGTCGACGTACTTTTAGAGATAACACTCTCCTCATCTAAATTTCCAGGGGTTGAACTTCTACCAGGAGGTTCACTTGTTGACTTAGAATATGCCGATGACATAATTCTATTTGGTGAAGACGCTGACAAAATGCAGAGTCTTCTGACCACTCTAAGCAACAATGCAAGCATGTTCGGGATGCGATTCTCTCCCTCGAAATGCAAAATGTTGCTTCAGGATTGGGTTACATCGACACCCGAACTAGTGATAGGGAGTGAAGTAGTTGAGTGTGTCGACCGCTTCACTTATCTTGGAAGTCTCATCAGCCCTTGTGGTCTGGTTTGTGACGAAATCTCAGCACGGATACAGAAGGCTCGACTAGCTTTTGCCAACTTGCGTCATTTATGGCGTAGGCGAGATATCCGTCTATCAACCAAAGGACGGGTTTACTGCGCAGCAGTTCGTCCCGTTCTACTTTATGGCAGTGAAGCATGGCCGGTAAGAGTAGAGGATATTCGTAGGTTACTAGTATTCGATCATAGGTGTCTTCGAAACATTGCTCGTATATCCTGGGACCATCGAGTAAGTAACACAGTTGTTAGGAAACGGGTACTAGGTAAGGATAGCAAATCAATTGATGAAGTAGTGAAACTTCATCAGTTGAGGTGGCTGGGACACGTGTTACGTATGTCCAACGACCGACTGCCTCGACGTGCTA